CCATTATTTCATCATTATTTCAACTTTGAATATCTTTCAATTATTTTACCATTATTTCAATATCTTTCAATTATTTCACCATTATTTCAACATCTTTCAATTATTTCACCTATCATTTTATCATTATTTCAATATCTTTCAATTATTTTACCATTATTTCAATATCTTTCAATTATTTCACCATTATTTTATCATTATTTCATTATCTTTCAATTATTTCACCATTATTTCATCATTATTTCATCATTATTTCAATATCTTTCAATTATTTTACCATTATTTCAATATCTTTCAATTATTTCACCATTATTTTATCATTATTTCATTATCTTTCAATTATTTCACCATTATTTCATCATTATTTCAACTTTGAATATCTTTCAATTATTTTACCATTATTTCAATATCTTTCAATTATTTCACCATTATTTCATCATTATTTCATCATTATTTCAATATCTTTCAATTATTTTACCATTATTTCAACATCTTTAAATTATTTCACCTATTATTTTATCATTATTTCAATATCTTTCAATTATTTTACCATTATTTCAATATCTTTCAATTATTTCACCATTATTTTATCATTATTTCATTATCCTTCAATTATTTCACCATTATTTCATCATTATTTCAACTTTGAATATCTTTCAATTATTTTACCATTATTTCACCTATTATTTTATCATTATTTCAATATCTTTCAATTATTTCACCATTATTTCATCATTATTTCACCTATTATTTTATCATTATTTCAATATCTTTCAATTATTTTACCATTATTTCAATATCTTTCAATTATTTACCATTATTTCAATATCTTTCAATTATTTCAATATCTTAAAATTATTTCACCATTAATTCAATATCTTTCAAATATCTCACCATTATTTCAATATCTTTCAATTATCTCACCATTATTTCAATATCTTTCAATTATTTGAGATAAATCATCGCTGAGTGACGTTTCCTTCTGGTAGGGTCTGTTGTGACAATTATAGTTTGCCATAACATCGGAATCTGAAACACTGACACGGACGGCGGGCACGATCGGGCTTTCTTGTCCACGTATAGTTTGTAGTAAAGACACCAAGTAAACGAAGTGTTACAATGTGATCACATTTTGGTTAAAATTATAAAGAGTGCAACCTGATTTGTCTCAATGTTTGGCTATCGAATAATGATTCATTCATGCATCTAACTAAGAAATCGAAACACTACTTTTAAAAACACTGTAACAACAAACTTAGACTGGCGCAGTCGGGGCGATTAATTTGTTTTTGTAGTTTAATTAAAATAAAAAAAATCGTGAAATGGAGGTGTTAGCGCGAAATCCCCTGTAACTGAAGTGATCTCGCGCTAACACCAATATTTTGCGATTTTTTTTTAATTTTATTTAAACTTCAAAAACAAATTAATCGCCAGTCTACAACAAACTGGCTACATTTTAAAAACAATCAGCCTGAAAAGGCGGAGGTTAATGAGACAAAACCATTTTACTCAAATGAGTGGTAACTGTGATCTCATTTGTGCCGAACATTAACAAACCCGGAATGTGACACGTTCGTATAAAAACAAGATTTGTATAGTATCGGTTCGACAATTTTCGAAATATACCGATAACTAAATCCTGTAATAAGCTGGAGCTGCCAGGCACCCCGGTCTGGCAACCCTGTCTGGCACTCATTTGAGTTCAGGAAATGGAAGTTTCTCTGAACACGTGTTGAGCGTGTACAGTCATCATTATTGTGAAAAGCATTCGTGTGTGTGAAATAGTCCGGGGAATTTTGTTTTAACAAAATAAAGGTGTTTAGAGTACCACACTGATACTACATTAGCTTGCTTGGAAAAAAAAACACAACTTTCTCCAAGTATTAATAGATTTCTGGAAAATAAAACTTAGCGGGACAGATAGTTTATTTATTTATTTATTGCACAGTTTTCAAGTAGTACAAATGATACCCCGTCTGGTCCAATAGCCCTGTTAGGAACTAAACTATTGAAATGTTTTAATGTCTTCTAAATAATTAGTAATACTACTAAGATAATTTTCTGAGACGCGATTAAATTCATAGCAATAATCTGTATCATCTTCGTGAGTGAAAACAGAGACAAAAAAATCATTAAATCTGAATATCAAGTGGGGTAGACGTTTTCCTGTCGCCATATCTAACAACGTTCGGAACATTACCCTTTAGATTTGATGTGACCCCCACATACGGTTATTATTTATATACTCCTCGATATTAGCTTCATATTTCCACGACTTGGCCGACAGCAATGTGAAAGGCATTATGTGCATCGGCAAACTTGTCGTAAGATGCACCGTAAACCGATGATAAAATACTTTGTATTTTTTCTTCTTCTTCAACGTTACGCGAGTGATGAATCCGTAACTAATATTACCAAAAACAAACTAATTGCACACTTAAAACTGTGAAATGATTACTACCATTAATCCGCAGTTAATGGGAGGAAGAATGTCAATGAAAATATAACGTCTCAATTTTATGTTTTGTTAAACTAACTACATGTAATCACTCGAGTACACTCGTACGTATTATTGTAATCACAATGTGTATAATGAAAGTGTTGATTACAAATATGTTATAGCAATTAATAAAAGTCAATTTATGTTCAACAGGTGGAAATTGGAAATTGGATCTAGGTGTTTTTTGCACCACAACGACGATTACAGTGTCTTGTCCTGGTAGCTAAACCGTTGTTGAATGTTTGCCTGAATTGCTGCGCGATGGCAGGACTTGATGTCAGCGATAGACTACGATCACGGTCACGATGACCAGCGACACTGTCGTCTACGCTCGATGTGTTTCTGATGACTTGACGTGACAGGAACGAGAAGGGATGATGATCTTGTTGGTTCAACTAATCTTCCACTACGCGCACACTTCTTCCCCGTGTATCCTTTCCGCCCCCTTTCCGCCATCGTGTTTCATCTTAGGCTACCTAGGACCCAACAACTTTTGTCCATAGACACTTGAATTCTGGATTGAATCGATGTATAATAGCCTTTTTTCTACAATAAATGAGAGGAATCTCCTAACTCGAACGATATTACCCAGGACAATGATCTTCACAAAGCACAATATCCAAAATAGTGCATGCCGGGAATGTGCCCCGTAACATGAGTGGAAAGAAATTTAAATAAAAATAATGGTGAGATAATTGAAAGATATTGAAATAATTGTGAAATAATTAAAAGATATTAACATAATGATGAAATAATGGTGAAATAATTGAAATATTGAAAGATATTGAAATAATGGTGAAATAATTGAAAGATATTGAAATAATGATGAAATAATGGTGAGATAATTGAAAGATATTGAAATAATTCTATTTTGGCGGTGATCTCACCCCATAAGTGAGCGCATCCGGGCAATGCATTTTATTCAGCCTTTTCCGGTATTTGGCTTTGAATATAAGGATCTGTAAAAAAAGTAAATAAATGCTACACATTTCTAAACCAAACCATTGATAAATGGCTACCCACTTCTAAACAAAATAACGTGAAATGACACCCCAGTCGGGCGGCACATACCCGTATTGCACTTCTATGGAAGTAGCCCCCCAGATCGAAGAATACATTCTCTAAGCCTCGACTGCTTTCTGTCGTTGGTGGCGTGGTTGAGAGACCAGAATGACACAGAAAGGTGCAGTAGTACGGTCTTTAAACTAAAAATAAGACATACAAAATACAAGACGACTAGGAACTATAAAGCTACAAAAAAAAAAAGAAACTGAGGTTAAAGGTTAAGTATTTCAGAAAATATGGCATAACGGAAATTTGTTTTTAATTTTATATAGACAGGGCTTATTGTGTTCGGTCTGGAAACAGCTGTCTTAGTACATAAACATTTGTCTATGTACTTTGCTAACACGATATTAAGAAATGTTATATCTGAACTCATGATTACGGAGAATTTGTTGGTTTTCGTCAAAACAGTGACATTTTTAATTACTTTTGCTGCGTTGTCAAACATTTCTTTGTTGTTCGTATGTTTTACATGACATTACGAAGCGTGTTTCGTCTGCAATTCCCATGGCAGTACATAAGTCGCACATTCAATTGAAGTTTTAGGTTTTGTATGTCTGCCAATTTATTTTTCCAGTCTGACTATCTTTTTGAAAAATCTGTATATTCTCTGGGGTTTTTTTTCTTTGACGTTATTCTTAATGTCATCATTGATATCGTTTTTCAAACTAATTCAAAAGATGTTATAATGTGTTTGTCCAAAATTTTCGACTGGGGTTTGTTATTACTTTTTCAGTGTTAATAAATCCTGATTGATTGATTGATATTAGCAAGTTGGGTT